AGAGCAGCTTGCCTCTGTATGGGGTCTTAGCGGATTCATATGGTTAGGCGATGTGGGGCGCCGATTTCGGCGGCGCGTCCGGGCGCCCGGGTGCCCGGTGGCCCCATGGCCTTGTAGCCCCATAGCCCTATAGCCCCATAGCCCCATAGCCCTGCAGCTCTATAGCTCCCGTGCCTCAGAGGCTAATTAACTGCATGGCCCTCAAAAAGATAGTGAGCTGGGTTTTCTCTTATATCATTATTCAAAAACGGAAGTAGAAATCAATGGCTTGGGCGCGTCTTGGAACGTTGTGGAGGCGTCTTCGGGGGTTCTTGGGCTGCGTCGAGGCCGCGGCCCTCCTCTCTCGGGGGCTCTCTGGGCCCGCGCCCGGCTGGTCGCGCCGCCGGCGGGCGCTCGCGCCGCGCCCGAGGAGCCCCTGGGAGTCCTGTGAAATCTTCGGGCGCATTAGGAAATCCCGGGAATCCGGGTGTCCTTTGAATTCCTTGCCCTTGAAACCTTTGCAAGATTTCTGCAAGTCTGATTTTCCCGGGGCTGCGCGGGCCTCGGGGCGGCCCACTGCGCGCCGCAGGTGCGGCGGCGGATTGGCCCCGCCCCAGGCCGGCGCATCGCCCAGGCATGCGCCGGCGCCCGAGTTCACGGACGCCGGCATCCCGGTGGCTTTTTTTTGCACGGGCGCCCAAAAACGCGCGGCCATCAGCGTGGCGTTCGCGCGCCGGGGGGGGTCCGAGGCGAACGGCCGCGGGGTTCGCCGGGGCATCTTTAGGCGCCCAGGGCAGTGCAAATTTCCAGGGGGGCGCATCTTCAGCAAGTGGACGACATCGAGCCCCCCCATTCTAAGTCGAATTCTGTACAGTGCCAATGAAAGAAGCAGCTCGACACGCACGCGGTGTCATCCTCAGAGGCAAGAGCTCCAGTCCGCTCGCTCGTCTCGCAGCCTGCCGCGCCATCGCAGCGTTGTCTGGGGCCAAGACGCCGCGCTGGCGAAGCGGTTCTCTGTCTCGCGCCCACTCGGCCGCGAGCATCTCGACGTCGATGGGGCCCGGCAGGCGGCGCGCGTCGCCTGCCCGATCCGTTCCCGCGCCGAGGCCAACGACGCCCGCGCGGCGCTGCGCTGCTCCGCCCGAGCCGAGGCCGGAGGAGAGCTCCAGGAAGACGCCCTCGAAAAAGCGAAGGCCAAGTTGGCCGGGAGCGCTGCGCGAGCTCCGGAGGCCGGGGGGCGCGAGCTCCGGAGGCCGCCGGCGGGGCGCGAGCTCCGGAGGCCGCCCGCCCGTGAGATTCCGCCCCGGGGCCCCAGGTTGGACCCCCCCCTCGGCCGCCGCGGACACGGCCGAAATCACTCGGGGGGGGAAAAACCTGCTACCCTGACACGTCGACTAAGGAATTGGCCGTCTTCGGTTCGCGAGAGGGCGTCGCGGCCGCGATTTTTGCGGGCCCAGGTCCGTCGGTTTCGGTCCCAGGCCGTTTTCATTAAGGGGAGGTCTACTAGAGGGAGGTTTGTCCAGCGCCGAATCACGAGGGGTCTGGCCCGGCGCCGGGGGCGGGCATCTGATCGCGAGGAGATTGACGAAGCTGCTGCCCGCAAGCACTCGTTGCGTTTAAGGCCGAAGATCGATATTTCGGTCTCGCCGCCCCCCTCGGAACAAATCGCATCGCGTGTCCTGAGCGCGGCGGCCCCTGACGGGCCCCCCTGCTCGGCCTGGAAGCGCCGCCCCGAGGGCCCCAGGTTGCTCGCCAGCTCCAGTTCCCTGGACTGGGCCCTTGCCTACAGGCCCGCGCTCTTCGGCTTCGACCAGATGCTCGGCGCCCCCCCCCCGCGAAGGGCGACGAGCCCGAGAGAGTCAGCGATCCGAGGTGCGGGTGGAAACCGCCCCCTGGGATCAACAACTCGGATTGCAGACTCCCGGCGGCGGCGCGCGTTCGCCCCCTCGCCGGGCCCCTCCCCGACTGCATCCAACGGGGCTTCGTCCAATCCAGGAATTTCGGAGGTGGCGTCGTCGAGCTCGACGCTTCAGCTCGGGCCACTTCCATGCGGGGAGATGTTCGTCTGGGCCCCCTGCTCTCCTCTCCTTCGAGTGCGGCCAAGCCTTCGCATGTATCTCCTTGGGGCTTATATTCGTGATGCTCAAGGCCCTCGGCCCCCCGCCCCTCTTCTCTGTTTCCCAGGGCAGATTCATTCCCGAGCGCAGTGCAACGGGCAGCGCGGCCCCCGCCTGAGGTTTCTCTTCGCCTTTGGAGCTGCGCTGTGCAAGGATCTCCCGCTAGCGGCGCCATCCTCGCGATCGGCCCCCGCCTTTTCGTCGAACGCGTCGTAAAGTTGGTCGAGAAGAAGAACTTTGGCGTCGCGAGGGCTTGTGCCGATGATAAAGGAGGCGTGCATTTCCATATTCGCGCCCGCGAAAATCTGTTCCGCAGTTTTCCGCGCGTCGAAACGGGTGGCCAACCCAGCCTTAACACGGGGTAGGTGCATGCTCGTGGTTCTTGCTGGCCCGCATAGCGAACGCCTCGCCTCTCGGCGCCGCGGGTGGGTGGAAGACAACATTCCCGAGCGGCGAGACGTGCAGCTGGTTTCCGAGCTGCTTTGTCGTCGCAACATGTTCAGTGGCCCCAGCGCTACTCCTTCCTCGCGGGGCGCGCTGGTGCAAACATGTGCAAACATGTATATCTAAAAGTGGGGCCCTTGCGTCTGTGGCCACTGTTTGGGGCACGCCGCCCAGTTTGGTCGCTCCTGTTTGGGGCACCTCGCCCAGTCCTTCCTGTTTTCCCAGGACAATGCTGCCCAGGAAGCACGCGATCCTCGCTGCAATCATGAGGGCGCCCCAGTGCTCTTTACCTCGCGCCATCTTCCAGGCCATACTTTCGCAGAGGTGGGCTTCGCCACCCCAGCGCTTTCATTTTCAATGCAGCATGTTTCATCCGAGCGGCCATCAGCGCGTTCAAAATGCAGTGACCTTCGAGCGTCTCTCGGAGGCGGGGGCAGAACTCGCACTTGCCGATCTACAGAACGGTGGTCGCTGCCCAGCCGTCTGGTTAGAGCCCCCCGTTTGTGACGCCCTGCGCGATGCGTCCTAAGGCTCAATTCGATTCGCATGTTGCGAAGGCTGGGGCAGCCGCGGCGCAGGCCGCCTGTTCGGTGCAGCTCCGTGGTCAGAAGATCCAGCGCGCTGCGAGTGCAGTCCTCCCCATGCCTCTCTCTTCTCCGCTGACCCCTCGTCGACCTTCCTCGCTCGCCTCGCCCACCTCCCCCGTCGGGCCCCAGAGGCCCAAGTGCACGCCACCCAGTGGCAGCGTGTACAGGATGTTGTTATAATGATACCTCCGACGCGGAGGGTAGCGGTGATAAAGACATTCTCAGGCACGTGGACCACGCACTCCCGCTTCCAGAGCTCCCGCCCTTGCATGTTCGGATGCGCTCACTCTTTGGGGAATCGAACTCATTACTTTCAGCGCCTTCGGTTTCTGGGATTAGAACCCGCATTGGAAGGCCGCCCGTTTCCTGAAGACCCCTAGTTAGATTGGGGCCGAGCAGCCTTTTCGGGAGACTCTCTAAGCAACACCGTGGCAACTTTGCACTGCTGTAGTCTCGCTCATCCCCTGCCGCCTCCGATCTCCTGGGGCCTCGGCCCCTCGCTCTGCCCCGAGCTCAACCCATCCGTGCGCCGCGTCGGCCGAGAGAGCGGGCCGTCGCCGTCAGCCGCTTCAGCGACGCCCTCAGCCGCAGGCGCGCCCTGCGCTACCCTATGGGGTGCAGCAGCGGCTGCAAGGGTAGGAGGAGGAGGAGGAGGAGGAGGAGGAGGAGGAGGAGGAGGAGGAGGAAAGCATGGGGGAGGGGAGGGCGACCGGAGGGGAGTTGGGGAGTGGGGAGTGGGAGCGGGGAGGGAGGAGGGGCGAGGGGATGAAGGAGGAGGAGGAGGAGGAGGAGGGAGATGAAGAGGATGATGATGAGGAGGAGGAGGAGGAGGAGAATGACCACTGTAAACTCAGACTCATCAGCGATGTTGGAACAAACCCTCCCTCGAAGTTCTCTTCCCATATGCCCCTGCAAGGGCTCACTTCCACTATGGAAAGTGCCCCGTTGGGAGACAACCGTTGGAAGGTTTGAATCGCGCAAAAACACCTTTGTCGGAAATTCAACGCCACGAATCAATTTGATTGTTGCGTCTGGGCGATCCCGAATCGCGCCAGAACGCCGTTCCTGTGACTTCAACACCGCGAATCAACGTAACTGCTGCGCCCTGACTGTTCGGAATCGTTCCAAAACATCGTTTCTGATACGTTAGCCGTGTGAAGCTCTTGTTTACGACGACTGCGCGCGGCGCCAAGGCGAGAGCCATATTTTGAAAGCCTAGCGCCTTCCATCAGTGAAACTCTTGCAATTGTTTAAGACGAGTGCGCGCGGCGCTAAGGCGAGAGCCGCATTCTGAAAACGACCCGCCATCAATCCGTGAAACCTGTGCGATTTGTTACGACGAGTGCGCGCGGCGCTAAGGCGATAGCCACATTTGAAAACCGCCCGCCCTCCATCCCTGAAACTCCTCGCAAATGTTCAGAATGAGTGTGTGCGGCGCTAAAGCGAAAACCACATGTTGAAAACAATCCGCACCCAATTCGCAAATCGATTGCGGTTATGTATGACTAGTGCGCGCGGCGCTGGGGTGAGAGCCACATTTTGAAAGCCGCCCGCCCTCCATCCTGGAAAACGTTGCACGTTTCAAGCTTGAGGATCATAAGTTGTGAGGAAGTCTCAGGCGAAATGCCCGGCTCGCCCTTCCGACTGGCTTCGGGGTGCGACAGGTAGAAGTTATTTACAAGGAAAAGGAAAGGATGAGGAGGAGGTGGAGGAGGAGGAGGAGGAGGAAGAGGCGGAGGCGGAGGAGGAAGAAGAACACAAAAAAGGGGAAGGAGGAGGAGGTGGAGGAGGAGGAACAGGCGGAGGAAGGAGGGAGGGGGAATGAGGACGGAGGACGGAAGAGGGGGATGCGGCGGAGCCCCCCCCCCCCGAGGCGCATCCGCGTGGAGCTGGGGCTCCGGGTGGATCGCGGGCCCCTCGACCAAGACGCGCCCGCGCCCAGTCCGCGCCGCCGCCGCCGCCGCCACCGTTGGCGTTCACGATCGTCGCCGTCGCCGTCGTCGCCATCCTCCTCCTCCTCCTGGTCCTCGTCCCCATTCCTCCTCCTCCCTCATCCCTCCTCCCTCCTACCTCCTCCCTCCTCCTCCCTCCCTCCCTCCTCCTCCCTCCTCCTCCTCCTCCTCCTCCTCATTATCCCCCTACCCTCCTCCTCCTCCTCCTCCTCCCTCCCTCTCTCCTCCTCCTCCTCCTCCTCCTCCTCCTCCTCCTCCCCCGTCCTCCTCACTCCTACCTCCTCTCTCCTCTCTCCTCCTCCCTCTCCCTCCTCCTCCTGTAGCAACGTGTAACAGTGTGCAATGCTGAATGTTTCCGCTCTGGCCGCAACTGTCTGTGCTCAAGCGGTTTTCGAGGCGGCGGATGGGAGATTTCGGCTGGGCCTTTTCTGCCTATAAGTCCCTGGCCCCGGCGCCCAGTTTCATGGTGGCGTGAAGGAGGCGGTCGGCGTCTGCCCCTGTGCTCTGGCGCTCTCGAGCGCCGCCATCGCCTGCCTCGGCTCCCAGGACAGCTGGGGAGCTCCTGTGCCCCTCGGGCTGACCGTGACGGCAGCGGTCCTGGCTGGCGGGCTGGTCGCTCTGCTGATGCTGGTGGCGCAGGCGGTGTGCCGTTCTTGCTACGTGACGTGCCAGCTGGTGCTGGCGTGTGCCTTCGCGCTCAGACAGACGAGCCTTCAGATGGCCCTCGATCGGCTGGTGCAGGCGCCTTTGGAGAGCGGCCACAGGTCGATCGACATGATGCGCGTGGCTCCGAGAAGGCGCAGGTCCTTCGAGGGGCTGAAGCCCGGGAACGTGGTCTGCGTCAGCTACGGGGTGGACGGGGAACCATATGATCGCCTGATCCTCGCAGTCGTGGACCACTGCTGCTACAGCATCTGGGACATCTACGCGGAGACCATCGGCCTGGAGTTCTTCGGGGACTTCAGAGAGGGTGGCCCCCGAGGAGGGCTGCCCGCTGGGCTGGGCGCAGCGCGCGGCCAGCCCGTGTACCGCTTCTCGACGAAGCCCGTCGGGCAGGAGCCGCAGGACTTGTTCGAGCAGGGCCGCGCCAAGGCGGCCGTGGAGAGCAGCATGGTGGGCATCCTGGAGGACGTGCCGGGGCCGCCGCCAGCGTTGGCGGGGACCGGCGCGAGCGCGGCTCCCCCTCTGCCTCCCCCAGCTGGATCGCGTCCTGCTGGGTCAAGCTCGGAGCTCGTCAAGCGGGTGTGTGTGGCGCTGTCGGCGCAGGAGTACGTGGGCAACACCTTCATGCTCGCGGCGCAGCACCACATCCCGTCGGACAGCTTCGTGGGCAACGGCTCGGTGGACCTGTATGACAGGGGCCTGCGAGGCGACCCCGCGGTGCTGTATCGCGTGGAGGTTGGGGAGCAGGAGAGTGAGGTGATCGAGCTGTTCAGGCGCCGGACGAAGAGGAACAGCGACGTGGAGGGCACGGACACTCCGCTGGTGCGGGCGCCAGGAGCGCCGAGCTCCGAGGACGCGCGCACCCTGCCGGTGCTGCGCGACAGCGCGGGACGGCGCTTCGAGAACATGAAGAGTGTGGCGAACAGCTCGGAGATGTGTGGCTTTGATGATTGGGTGCTGGGAAGGGCCGCGCTCGGTTTTGGACCTGGTGAAGGAGATAGCTGAACAGGCGGCTGGCCCCTTCGAGCGCCTCTCGACCTGGAAGCACGAGAGCGAGCTGCAGGATGTCGAGCTCAACGCGGTGACGCATGGGATGCTCTCGGAGATCATTGAGCTGGCGACCGCTCTCGTTCAGCTCGACGTGTCGGACTTGGCGGGCATGGGGAGCCTGTGCCTCCACTCCCGGCACACCAAGCAGCGGATCAAGAAGAAGCAGGAGGCCGGGAAGGACTTCGACCTGCAGGGCTACTACCTGGGCAGGGCGTGGCGCACGGGAGGTGCGTGGAAGGCCCCGGAGCTTCAGAAGTGGGTGGCCGAGTGGGCTGCCCGCGAATCGTCCATCTTGAAGGAAGAGAAGGAGGCTGCCAAGGAGCGTACGCTTGCGTGCGCTCCTAAGAGGTCATGATGGACTCAGGATCCGGGGGCTGGCCGTCCCGGGTCGTAGATTCAGGCCGCACTATGGAGAGGGCGGTGCCTCGGGATCTGTTCCCTTTGCCCGAGGTCACCTATAGCTCTCCTGAACAGCGCCGAGGTCCTCGCCGTGCTGCTCAGCGTCTGGGCAGGAAGGCGGCCATCGGCCGACGCTCGAACAACTGCATCGCCGCCCTCAACAACCTGTACGGGGACGGCTCTTTTTTGCCTGGAGGAAGACCCTCGCAGGCACAGTCTTCGGCGCTTGACGGCATCCTGCGCGCGGTCACTGACGACAGGCCGCCGGGCCGGGCCCGTTGCCCGCCCCCGAGGCAGCCCTTCAGGAGTTGCTCGGTACCGAGGCCCTCGACTACGCGTCCGAGGACCTCTCCGTGGTTGCGCTGTATGATCGCGGCTTGGTCTCGTGGCCGGACACCGCAGGTTCGGTTGACTTGCTGGACGTGTTGCCAGACCCTGACCGCCAGGAGGTGATCGACGGTCCCCGCGCTCTTGCTTCGGGCTGAGGAGGAGCCGCCAGCGGCCTGCAAGGTCTACTGGGACAAGACGCTCAAGGCGGACAGAGGCGAGTACACCAGGTTCGTGCAGGACCTGCTGAACAGGGGCATGGTGGAGCTCCGTAATCGCCGTGAATTTGAGGTTGGGATATTCTTCGTACGCAAGAAGTCGGGCAAGTTGCGCCTGATAGTGGATGCCAGGTCCGTCAATCAGAACCTCAGGCGCCCCACCTCCATCCAGCTGGCGTCGACGGCGGCGATGGTCGGGCTTGAGGCAGAGCCTGGGGACATGCCGGTGCCCCCGACGACCTCGGCTACGCCTGTTCCCCGCATCGTGTACGTGGACAATGAGGTTTCCGTCTCGTCTCGACCCGGCGCCTCTGCCGACGCCAGGCAGCAGGCGGCCAAGAAGATGTCCAGCGTCGGGCTGCCGCTGCACGAGGTGGAGGAGGGCAAGCATGTCGTCGAGGCGCTGGGCCTGGAGCTGGATGGTATCAAGCTCCGGCGCCGCCTGGCCTCCTCCAAGCGGCGGCGGCTGGTGCAGGGCACGCGTGCGCTGCTGCGGCGGCGGCTGGTGGCAGGCAGGGGCGTCGAGAAGCTGATCGGCCATTTTACGCATGCCATGCTGCTGAACCGCCCGGCGCTTTGTATCTTCCGCGCCGCTTACGACTTCGCTCGGCGGCATTACCGGGCGCCCAGCCTGCTCTGGCCTTCTGTGAGGCAGGAGCTGCAGAACGCCATGCACATCATGCCGCTGCTCGCGGTGCAATTCGATATGCCGCGGTCTGGGTTGGTCACCTGCTCCGACGCTACGCTGAGCGGCTACGCCGTGCAGGAGGCGGACTTCCCGGTGTCTGAGGTGAAGCAAGTGGGGCGCTGGAGTGAACGCTGGCGCTTCAAGGTCGAGGGGGCCGGCCGTCCTCGGGATCGGGCATTGGGTGGCGCTCTGCCACTCGACGGACTTGAGGCTTTCGCTGAAAATGGAGAACACTACGACGACGACATTGCCATTTGCATCAATCATCAGTTTCCTGAGCTACCAGCATCATTCACCAAGGAGGGGGTTAATTGGAGGACTGTACAAGCGAGAAGGTATCACGGGAAGGAGGCAATCCACCTGAAGGAGTTGAGAGCGGTGTTATTTGTGTGGAGGCGCAAATGCAGACAAGCTAGACATCATCACAAGCATCATCTATTTCTGTGTGACAACATGGGCATGGTTCTGAGTCTGGAGAAGGGGCGAGCTGCATCTGTACCCGTACTCTTTCTGATCAGGAAGTGGGCCGCGCTTTCTCTGGCCACCTTCTCTCGCACCTGTGTGAGGTGGATTGCGAGTGAGCTGAACCGCAGCGATGAGCCCAGCCGATGGTTCGACACGCCGGCGGAGAAGGCGGCGGCAGCTGCGTTGGGAGCCCACCGGCGCGAGGCTTGCGGAGAAGTGCCTGAGGCGTGTAGCAGCGCCTCCGGCGCCGGTTGGTGCAGGCGCGCCTGGCACCCCTCCGCCGTCGGCGGGCCGGCTCCCGAGAGACGGCTGCAGCGGCGGAGCGGCCCGGTGCCCGACGCTGTCGTGGGGCCATGGCAGAGTGGCGGCGGCCCAGGGTACCTCGACAGGGCGGCTGCGCGGCTCATCAACGAGGTCTCGCCGATCCCCTTCGAGGCCGAGAGGCCTCCTCCCGCCTCCGGCGGCTGGAGCAAGGGACCAGGTTCTCGTGAGGATAGCTGGTACTGGTGGGCCGACCGTCCTGGAGCAGGAAAACGCGACGGCGAAGACCACGGAGGACTGCGAGCGGAAGCGGGAGCGGTTCTTCGGCTTCTGCAGCATCAACGGCCTGGCGCTCGACACCTACCCGCTGCTCAGGGAGGCCCTGGTGGAGTACATGGACCTCCTGTTCGCGCAGGGGGGGCCCTGCAGCGGCGGGGCCAAGCTGCTGGCGGCAGTAGGCCATCGCTGGCCGAGGCTCCATCATGCCATGCGGTTGCTGAAGCTGCCGAGGGAGGCGAAGGCGCTGCAGGGCTGGCGGCATCTGCTGCCGCTGGTGATACGGGCGCCCGTGCCGTGGGCCGCCGTGGCGTCCATCGCGCTGGCATTGATCAGGCGCAGGCAGCCGCTGGCGGCTCTGGCGGCGGTGCTTGCGGCGGACGCCTACCTTCGGCCAGGCGAGCTGCTGTCGCTCCAGGCCAACCGTGCGGTCCCAGCCCAGTCAGAGGCCGGAAGCGACTACCGCTTCGCGTCGCTGGAGCCGAAGCCAGAGGAGGAGCTGCTGCCGACCAAGACGAAGGGCTTCGACGACTCGATCCTGCTGGATGGCACGTCGAGGCGCGACCTGGGTGCGCTGGTGAAGCGGCTGGCGAGGCAGAAGAGCTTCTCGGCGGAGCTCCTCTTTC